GCTTTCTATGTACTTAGCACCAACACTTGAGGGAACAAGAGAAGTAACAGACAAGGTCACGGCCCCGAAGGAACACATAAAATAGTTGGAAAACACCACTCAGGAACCTTTGAGAATAAAAGAAACTCCGACCACAAGTCAAAGTACCTAATACTGACGAAGACGTTGAGAGCACGGCAGAGGGAAGGGAGAGAAACATGAATGGCATCCCCAGAGGCATCAGGGAGCCGGGTGGGACCAGATGAGCAGGATTTGAAGAGACAGATGGGGAAAGGCAAACATCTGAGGTAAAGATGTATGAAAAGAAAAGGGGGACCCGAAAAGACACTGCATGTCCAGGCACACGGGAACAGGATAAAAACCCATTTTTAAAGTTCATGGTGGGAAGTGTGCATAATTTATGAAGTAAGGTTAAACAGGCAGGGTAGGACACAGTCATGAAGGGCCTCAGGGAAAAAAGCACAGGAGTTTAGAAGTGAGAGGCCAGATAATAGGAAATCCTTCAACAGAGGACCGTGGAAACAGAAAGGGCGTGCGCAGCAGCAGAATGCAGGATGACCCGAAGGCACAAAAGACATTAAGTAGGGAAACCAACAAATAACCTCTGGTCTCTCTCCTTTCCTTATCCAAAGGAACAAGGACTTAGGCTGGAACAAGGTGGTGGCTGGGAGAGACAGGAACAGAACCGTGTGTCTGCTGAAGGCCCAGAGAAGCTGACGGGGTCCGGGAGAACGCCAGCACCACCGAGAGAACAGGGAGACTGGGCTGAGCGCGGGGGTGAAGAGAGGGAAGAATGAGGTGACACATCTGTTATGATGATGGAAAGCCCAGGCAGAAACGGCACTGGACAAGCTTATGATTTCTGGGACGTACAGAACCTAGTGGAGTCTCTTCTATTATGTCTTCCAGTGTGTCCAAATGACAGCTGTCCTCGGCAGAAAAAAGACCAGAGACCAAGTCATCGCTTCACCTGCAGCTGTCACCACAGAGGTCTGACCCAGAAGGTGAGCTCTCGAGTTCTTCCTCCTCTCACGGGACTCTCAGTAGGGCATCTCACCGTTTCTGTCCCACACCGCCCTCCTACACCGTGTGTCCTCTCACCTCCTTCATTTTTCCTTTGAATCCTTTACTAAGGGGCCATTAGCATGGGTTCCTAATCTGTGGGGTCACATCACTCTGCCGGCACGAGACTGTAACTCTTTTAAGGCACAATCAACTGCAGTGTCCTTCGCTGATTCATTTCACCTCCCCACAAGCCAGGCAAAGCAGCCCTCGGAAATGCTTTTGGCTGAGACTAGAAAATTTAAAGACATCTTCATGGACAAGAACCTTCATAAAATATTTCAGTATATACATTATCAGGGGAAGGGAGAAACATGGTATGAAAAAAAGGACACTAAACTCAAGAATCAGATCTCTGACACCAACTGCATGAGCTTCAGTGAGTCTCAGATTCCTCACTGTCAAAGTGGGGGTTGAGCTGGGCGACTTCTCCAGCTCACGGAAGCTGTAGCATTCTGACTCTGGGCTCACACCTAACCAAAGAACACCACTCAAATGCTGCAAACGCCTGTTGAAAAACTTCCATTTTGCTTGTTTAAATACCATTGTTTAATTCAAATGAGTTAACGAGAACTTGAAAACAAATGGTACATTTTCGTTAAATGAATCAAAATGCTATTAACATATTTGATCTCCGTCATGTACATATTTCTACCAGGCACTTTCAACCTAAACAATTTCTGGCAATGCTAAATAATAACGAACCTCTTGGTTAAAACAAACAAGGGTGTTGAGTGGGTGCTGTTTTCTCCCAGTTCCTCTCCTCTCCTCAGAGGAACTGAGCCCATATAAACCAGGACTCGGGTCCCCTACCCATGACAGCAGGACCACCACCTCCCAGTCACTCCCAACACTGCCACGCACTGTGATTATTGGGGCACATTCGCTTTTGGACATTTTTACAAATGCGTCAGTTGAAGCTATGGTTCTGTTCTCACCTTAACTGGATATCTCTTTCCTCACTCTGAATGATGAAGTGAAAAGGATATTTTCAGATTAACTCTACCATACTGTTGTTTTTCCTCAATGAGAAAAAAATAAAGCAAAGTAAACAGTGAGGATTTTATACCGTACAATTACAGTCAAAAAAAAAAAAGGAGCAAATGACACCATACAAAAATCACTAACAACCTAATAAACATTCTAGTTTGGGGGGAAGAAAAGGTAAGTAACATATTTCATTTTCGGATTAAAAAATATTCTCTAACAATTCAAAAGAAGATTTCCTGAAGCTGGTGGGGCCAGGAAAAAAAAAGAAAAAGAAAATTAATCACTGCTTCAAAACAAAAAAATTTAAAAATGGCTCCCCCCCACCACCACCGAGATGACTCTCACTCTATTGCCCCAGGTACAGTGCAGTCATCGTAGCTCACTGCAACCTCAAACTCCTGGGCTCAAGGGATCCTCCTGCCTCAGCCTCCCAGCTAATTTTTTCTATTTTTGGTAGAGACGAAGTCTTGCTCCTGCTTAGGCTGGTCTCGAACTCCTGACCTCAAGTGATCCTCCCGCCTCAGCCTCCCAGAGTGCTAGGATTACAGGCATGAGCCATAAGCCCGGCCAAAAATGGCTTAACTTTAAAAGATTGGGGGTGGCTCAGAATTTGAATTTCAAGTTCTTCTGTAAATTCATGCACAAAATTGGCAAGGCAAACTTCACAATTTTGAAAATAGCAACATTGAGGAAATAGGGAAATTTGAACATAAGACAATCAAAACACCTCTTTATTAAATCTAACATTTGGCTAAGAGACCAACCTTTGCTTCAAACTATGAGGGTAGCATCAAGCTTTTTAAATCACACTGAATGTTCTGGAAAGCATCACCCCGTCATGGTGCCTGTCCCACCTCACCCTCTGCCCACAGGCCCCCCCAGGCCCAGGCAGAGGGACAGATACTCTGCTTTAGACAAAGCTGCCTTTCCACCTCCACTACCCGATGCCTCTTCCCTGGACTCTTGTCAGCCCAGCTAACTGAAGGAGGGTCAGGCTATTTACCAGGGCACATGATCCACGGCTGGCCAATATCTTATATCCTAGGGCCAGGAGGAAAAAATGAACCAGATCAAATTTCTCTCAAGAACGTCAACTAGGAAATGTGACAAGAACTGGTCACTTAGAAACTGAAAGAATGCAACAAGAAATGCCACAGAGTTGAACTGGGGCCAGAAGGGTTCTGGCCAGCTAAGAAAGCCCCTGAACTGAAGCCACAGGGGTGGGGAAACTGGGAGTTAGCCAAGAAGCCAGCTGGTGGTGGGAAAGGCAGAGTCCCACGAGGTGAAATGAAGCTCCAGGGACAACTGCTGCCGAGGCCACCAGAGCTGCCAGGAACTACCCTCCAAGGCCTGGCTCTTGCTCAGCCCATCCCTGCTGGAATTCCAGGATTTTTGTGTGATTCCTATCACACCACAGTGTTCCCACTAACAAAACTCCTCTCAAGCTGGCTGGAATGAGTCTTTGTTCCATATGACCAAAAGCCAAAACGGCACAGATAACATGCAAATAGGAACGACCGTTCTGATAAGTGAATAACATAAAATACTGAACAGTGCTAGTTAAATATATTTAACAAAAATATAGAACTTTTTAAATATATTTAATAGAAATACCCACACATAAACACAAACAAAAGCCTCACACCTGACAGAGAAGGGGCACAAGGGAACTTTCTGGGGTAATGGATGCAAATGTTCTCTGTTTTGATAGAAGGTGTGGGTGACTCTTTTACTAAAATTGATCAAACTGTACATCTGACATGTGACCATTTTACTGTATGTAAATTATACCCCAATTAAAAAAAAAAAACAAAACAAAAAACCTCCCCTAATCTAAATTGTTCCGTTGAGAGCACGTGACTTTTTGTTTTGTTTTTCAAAACTGATCTAGATAAATCTCACAAACATGATGCTGAGCAGAAGCGGCCAGATGCAAAAACACTGAGTTTCTACTTATATAAAGAACAGAAGCAGGGAACAGTCACCCACAGTGTTAGAGTCCCGACAGTGGCTAATTCTGAAGAGGTGAAGGGATCAGATGGACTTCTTTCTGGGCTCCTTATGTTCTGATATTGGTGCTAGTAACACAGGTATGTTCAGTTTGACATACATATTTTCACCAGGTGTATGTTTATGATAGATGCATTTTCCTGTATATATTTGCCTGTATGCATATTATATCTTTTTTTTTTTTTTTTTTTTTTTTTTTACAGAGTCTCACTCTGTTGCCCTGGCTAGAGTGAGTGCCGTGGCGTCAGCCTAGCTCACAGCATATATCTTAATAATAACACAAAAGAGAAGGAAAGAGAAGGAATACCCTATTGTAATACAAAAGTGATCGGAGAAGATTTTTGTTCTGCATCTAGTAAAATGCGTATTTTCAGCCAAATTCTCCCCAGATAAATAAAGAAAATTAAGACTTTAGTTACCCCATTTGTGGAATTCTAACTTGACTCATAGATTTGATATTAGGAGGAAAAACTCATTCAACAGAGTCATTTGAATAATATAATTCCATGCTATAGTGATCAGTTCTAAGCCTATATAAAGTGAGTTCACCCATAACCAGACCACTCTTCAAATAAGAAGCAGCAGGAAGAAATCACACTCCATATCCCTTTTCTATTTTAACAAAGGAAAAAAAGAGCAAAACCCAGAGGAAGAAGTATTTAGTGAGAATTCCACTTCTGTATTTTCAAAGGGAGAATTAACTTAAATTCATACATTACCCTGAAGTACATTTTTTAAAAACAGATTTTAATTTCCAGAAGCTCATATTTTAAAAACATTTTAGAGACTCTAGATATAATTGATAAGCATAAAAACAGAATAAGTGTAAGTGAAGTAATGGAAACAAACAATAAAAATGTTGTTTACAGATCATCAAATTCTAATACTGCACTTAAAAAAAATAAGCCAAAGAATAAATTGAAATGTAAAGTACTTACAGCCATAATTAATTCAAAGGGGTGTTTATACACCCTCACTGGTGACTGGTATTTCTGCACCATGATTGTAATGCAATAGCAATCCTCTCACACCTGCAAAACATAAACATATGTGGTAAATAACCACCATACAGAAAAAAATTAAGTCCGCGTTGACACATCATACCACATTCTCAGGACAGAAAGAGACCACAATAGGTCATGAGAAGATGAAACTTACATACACAAGGCAGGGGGAAGTAGTAAGACAATAAGAAAAGGAGAGGAAAGCCCCAGCAGAGTGAGGTGAGGGTGGAGGCCTCCATTCCCCTCCTCTGCATGGGTTAGATGACCTGAGTCCTTTCCAGCAATGAAACATTATGATTCCATTATTCTAATAACCGATAGAATTAATGCTTAAGTCATTTTCTCTTGAACAACTTCTAGTGGGAGACAAATAAAAAGGGTCACATGTTAAGACATCAGCTCTGGGGAAACAAAAATAAAAGTGGAAAAATACTACTGTATCTCAAATTATGGAATACTCCTCAAAAGCCAGCTTCAAAGGAAAATTCATCAATTCCTTTTTTTTGTGTACACTACAATTTTGAAGACCTGTCTTCAAGTGGCAGAGATGCCAAGAACTCTGGCTGGAGGCTCCGCTGAAATCCCCAGCCTCAAATGGCTGCGATGTCTGTAAGTAGTCAATTAAATGTACAAGCCTAATTCACAGGTCAAGGAATCCTCCTGCGAGGTACATAATCACACTCTACTGCCAGCCTAGGGGGATTTTTCTGAAAACACATTTTTATTTGGAGTCCTCTGTGACTCTTTATTCCCCTGTTTAAACGTCAGGAAGAAAAATAATTCCAAGGAGCCTACCTGTCCTGCTGAGGATAATCATTAAGAATGTTATTTTATGCTGAATATGGTGAGAGGATATTCAAAAGTACAAAACAGAATATCCTCATGGAGCCCAAAGTCTAGCTGTTAAAAAAAAAAGTTAGGAAAATATACTTTATATCAGGAAATTTCTAGCTATGTTATTACATTTAAACAGGTCTGGAACTCTTTCTGGTATGCGTGGCATACCTCGCACAAGGAGCAGATTAAGTGGAAAACAGCACCACTTGACAGTGGGAAAACTGCTAAGGAAAAACCGCGGGTGACCTCAAGTAAGCCGTCTGAATTCCCTAGGACGCAGTTTCATCTCTGTAAAACGAGGTTTTGGGGGACATGATTTTGAAAGACTTCCAACTCTAAAATTTTGAGAATTGGAGCCAAAGTCTTGAGTTCTCCTCCAAACTCAAGGTAAAGCTTTCGTTAATCTTGATTCTGGGACCGATGCGTCCTGGTGGACTGGGGCCACGTTCTATTTCGCTTTTGTAAACCTTACAAATCTTGGTGCGCAGTGGGAATCTAATCATCTTTTTAAAATTTAATTGAGAAAAACTTTAGAGTATCTCTCAGATAAGAGGAGGACGATTACCAGGTACGAACAGCTGAAAAGAGGATGCAAAACAGGGTAAGGCTCGTTTAAGAAACTGTGATATCCACTCAGGATTCCACTGCCTGGCACAACCCAAGTGACTACACTAAAGAACCTGCTAATTCACGAGCTTCTGAACTCCTGCCAGTTCCCGGCTTCCGATGCTCTGGTCCAGATAAACGCCCTCCGCGGGCATCCGGAGTAACAACGGCCAAGTGGCATCAGGACCCGGGCTGCCTCTATTGCATGACAATTGGTGTTTAAAATCAGCCAATGGCCAGACCCAGGGAATACGTCCCCAGCAGGCGGGGGGCGGCGGGGCGGGCACTCGGGACCGCTCCGCAGGGGTCCTGCGCGGCTGCTCCAGAGGGGACCCGGCCGGGGCGACCCGGAGGACGCGGGCCGGGGACGGGCTCCGGACCCGAACTCTGCTCCCCACAAGGAGGGGCTCGAGAGTGGGCAGCCTGGCGAGTGGGGGCGGGGGGCGGGAGGAGCGGCGAGGGGCGAGGAGGGGCGGCGGGCCGAGGAGAACCGGGGCCGGGGCAGGACGCGAGCCGCGGGCAGGCGGTCGAGGGTCCGGGTCCCGCCCGGGAGGCGCCGGACCTCGGCGGGGCGGGGGCGGGGCGGGGTGGGGGGCGCGCTCGAAGCCCACCGCGGGGACGCGCGCCTACCTCTTGTCAGAAAGGCCGGGCCCGGGACGCGGGGCGACGGGGGACGCTCATGCCGGCGACTCCGCGGTGCCGTCGCCGTTCCACTGCTTGGCGGCCGCAGCTCGACCGCCGGTTCCGGGGAGGGGGCCGGGGGGGGGCGGGAGCGGGGAGGAGCGCGGGGAGGGCACGAGTGGTTGTTACGGGTGACGGAGAGGGCGGGGCTGAGCGCCGGAAGGGGCGCGCATGCGCGAACGTGGCCGAGGGGGCGGAGGCGGGAGCGGGCGACGGTTGCTAGGGAGGATGGGGGGGGTGACAACCGGGGCCGGCCCGAGCTGCGCAGCCGCAAGCTCCAGGCCGGCGGGCGCGGGAGGAGCTCCGAGAAGACGTCAGCCCGATTGCACGGCTGGTTTCGCCGGCGGTCCTGTGGCTCCGCCCAATCTTGCGTCACGGGGCGCGGCCAGGAGAGGGCGGGGCTCCGCGAGTAGCGGGCGGAGGTGGAGTGAGGCACCGCTGGGGCTGCGAGTCTGGGGAGCGCTTCCGCCGCGCGGGCTGGTGCGGGGAAGTCTGTGGGACGTGCAGACGGCGGGGCCGGCGGCTGGGCGCCCGCTCCGAGGCCCGCCTCCGGCCGGCCTTGGAAGCTCCTCGCTGTGCTTCCTCATTTTTTGTCGTCTGCTCTGAGGCTACAGGCCGCCCGACCGCATTCTTGCGGAGCAGTGGCGCTGAGGCGAGCGCAGCCGGCAGCATCCCTGTCAGCACCGGCTGTGGCGGACCATCCGCGCCAGCCCTGCGCCGGCCCGGGTCCCGGCGGGTGCTGAGGGCTCTCGCCTTCCGACAGGGAGCCGCAGTTCAGCTCCGACTTTAGACCCTAAGGAGGTGTACACAGGACATGTAGGGGTCCTTAGGAGGAGCCGGTGACCTGGAAGGGACACCTCGCACGTCCACCCACGCAGCAAAGCTGACTGTAACCAGCATACCATTTCAGCATCAATGTCACTGTTGTTCCGTGACATTAGTCACCCTGGGCGGCTGTACGTGTCATGCTGCCATCTCACAGAACCTTTCTGGAACTGTTCTGGAATTTCCTTCAGAGCCAGTTTACCAGCCACACGGGCAAATCATTCATTACCTGATCACACCTTGTTTTTCAACGCGAACCGTCGCCTTCCAGCTTGATCTCCATCATTCACTAGGCTCAGCCTCACTGGCTCTTCGCCCGTTTGTAGAAACCACATCCACCTTCAAAAGATGCTTTGAAAAAGCGACAACCCAGGCACGATGGGCCTCCTGACAGGAGTAAGCAGCAGCGCCTATTGGAATGGTCTGGCCTCAAAGTGGGCCTGATCTGATAAGCTCCAGGAAGCAGAGAACAGAGGAACATGCTAAAGGACACCCTAGGAGACTGTTGGCAAAGGACGGCCTGTGGCAAACACTACAAGACAAGCTTTTTTTTGTTTTTAATTTTTTTCTGTTTTTTTATTTTTAATTTAAAAATTTTTTTGTTTTTGTGTTTTCAAACATATTCTTTTTTTTTTTTTTGAGACAGAGTCTTACTGTGTTGCCCGGGCTAGAGTGCCGTGGCATCAGCCTAGCTCACAGCAACCTCAAACTCCTGGGCTCAAGCAATCCTCCTGCCTCAGCCTCCCGAGTAGCTGGGACTACAGGCACGCGCCACCATGCCCGGCTAATTTTTTCTATGTATTTTTAGTTGTCCGATTAATTTCTTTCTATTTTTAGTAGAGACGGGGTCTCGCTGTTGCTCAGGCTGGTTTCGAACTCCTGAGCTCAAACAATCTGCCCGCCTTGGCCTCCCAGAGTGCTAGGATTACAGGCGTGAGCCACCGCGCCCGGTCCAAACATATTCTTTATCAGATAAATTCCAAAGGAAAAAAGAGGAAGGGCCAATCTATAGACAATCTATAGATTAAAGACATTGAGAAATGTATTAGCCATACACTTATGATTTGTGTAGGCTTTTTCTAAGTGTGTTACACTTCAATTAAAAATTTTGTCGAATATGATGATCCTGATCCAGAAAACAACCCACAAAGTTTTGAAGAAAAAACAGACTTGAAACATCAACAAATTGCAAAATATGAACTTTATTTTCATCTTGATTTGAACAAATACTAAAAAAATATTTATGCCCAGCACAGTGTAATCTTACGCCTGTAATCCAGCACTTTGGGAGGCCAAGGTAGGAGGATCACTTGAGGCTAGGCGTTTGAGACCAGCTTTGGCAAAATAGTGAGACCTCATCTCTACAAAAATAGATACGTAAATAAGTTAGCTGGGCATGGTGGTGTGCACCTGCAGTCCCATCTACTTGGGAGGCTAAGATGGGAGGATCCCTTGAGCCCAGGAGTTCAAGGTCGCACTGAGGTATGATCCGGCCACCGTACTCCAGCCGGGACTACAGAGTGAGACCCTGTCTCTAAAATGAAATAAAATAAAAATTTTACGAAACAGGGAAATTTAAATGGTATTTGAACATACAATGATACTAAGAAATTATTAATTTTTAAGGTGAGATAATGACATTATGGCCAATATCTTTTAAAGACGCCTTATCTTTTAGGGTTCACACTGAAATATTTTTGTGTGAAATGATATGATGTCTGGGATTAGCTTCGAAATAATCCAGATGAGGAAAAGGAGGAGACGAAATAAGTTGATCCTGAATTGATCGCTGTTCATTATACTATTCTGTCCACTTTTGTATATGCTTGAAAGTATCCATAATAAAAATGTTTTTTAACAAAAAGACAGTTTGTCATCATTGAGGATGCCAGATCAAGATGTAATGACAAAAGAGGTATTTGAAAATATCTTAAGCAATAACTGTATCATTAAAATACTTTTAAAAATTCCTAAGGGGAATAATTTGAAGAAAGCAACACTCGTTTAGACGTGCAACTTATGGTATGTTTGTTTTAAAATCAGTTTTATCGGGCAGGTGTCCATAATCTATAAGAAATTCTACTGTGCAATGTGCTGCAGACTTAAATGAAAAGATGCAGGCTTCATTCTGTCCACACACTGCCCTGCGCTCCTGTTGTGTGTCAGACACTGTGTGAGGCACAAAGATGACTGGTGTGGAGGGGGAGGTAGGGAGTATATGGGGGTCAGGTTTGCTGCCAGTGACCGAGAACACAAAGTAAAAGCGTCATGGTGAGATGGAAGAGTGGGCCCCTCTCACGTGATTGAAGTCCAGGGCTGAGACAGCACTGCGTGTTCCCTGTCAACTGCTGCTGAACCAAAGCTGAGCTGAGTAAACCAACCGCAGCAGGGAAGAGCAGCACCTTAACCAGGTCACACTGAGAGCACTCTTGGTGTGTCAGAACAGGAGGCCCAGGGTTTGGGGGCCTTGGCTCAAGTGTTCCAGGCAGGTCTCTTGGTGCTGGGATCTGAGTAGGACGGCGCCAAGGTTGTGATATCATGGTCTAGGCCTGGTGAGCGCATCAAGGCCTGGAAGATTCAAGTTGTTTGATAAGTGTGCTGTCTGCCCAGGTAAGCAATCTGTCATCCTGAGAAGGGGGTTATTTGCCAAGATGAGCCATCTTTTGTCAGAATAAATTCTTTTTCATGAATTTCCTGAAGCAAACGGTGAAGCTGGTTGTTGGGTTACAGTCTAATCTTCCTGAACTAGAATTTCTGGGGTCCAATCGTGAGTCACACTGACACAGGAGGTCTCAGATCTCGGTCCTGACAGTGAAGCTGTGTGGACATAGGTGGTCCCATTACTCATGGTCAGGGACTTAGGCCCCTCCCATGTTGCTGCTTTGCCGTTATCACGATGTGTCTTTTGCCTCCAGCCAGCACGTAGGAGGAGAGGGTGAAAAGCAAACCTCCCCAGCTGAAGGACGCTTCCTTGGAGATAGTGTGCATGTGCGCACACACACACACACACACACGCACACGCACACACACACACACACGCACACACACACACTCTTCCCGTACATCCCCCTGGCCAGACTCAGTCTTGTGGGCACACCTAAGTGCAAGAAAGGCTGGGAAATGTAGCCTGTGTTCCAAGCGGCCACATAGCCAACTAAAAATTATGACTTTTTTTACTACCAAAGAAGCAGAGGATGAATATCGGTGGCAACTAACAGTGTCTCTCATCAAGGACGTCATCAAGCTATTAAAATGTAGTGTGAATGTGTGTTTGAAATATTTCTAAATAAAAGGAGGGGAAAGGTGCGGTGTGGTCAGTGCTGCAAATGAGAAACAGAGGGAATCGCTGTGCGCGGCATGACTGGGGAGCTGAGGCAGGCCTCGCGGGGGGACAGGGGAACAGGGCGGGAGCTGTCCGAGGGGGAAATGCTGGTGGGAGCATCGCGTCCCTCAGACGTGTGTGCACACACAGATGCAAAGAAAACCAAGGGTAGAATCCTAAAGTCAGGACATGAACAAGAACCAGAGAAGGTGCTGATCCGCAGTTAGAGAGGCGGAAGGAAAACCAGGAGAAAGGAATGGTGTCCTGCCCACCGAGAGAGTGTACGGTTGTGCGGGGTCAACAGCGCCAAAGGCCAAAGATGTTGAACAGAGTAAGAAATAAGAGAGGTCCTGGCCTTGGTGACAAGAGGGTCACTTGTGTCCTTGCTGGACCTGAATTCAACAGTGGGTTGAGGAGAGACTATGGAAACCAGGATGGTGACTGTACATGCTCAAGTCACTGTGACAGGACACAACGTTTTTTTTTTTTTGAGACAGAGTCTCACTTATGTTGCCCGGGCTAGAGTGCTGTGGCTTCAGCCTAGCTCACAGCAACCTCAAACTCCTGGGCTCAAGAGATCCTCCTGCGTCAGCCTCCCGAGTAGCTGGGACTACAGGCATGCGCCACCATGCCCGGCTAGTTTTTTCTATATATTTTTAGTTGTCCAATTAATTTCTTTCTATTTTTAGTAGAGACGGGGTCTCGCTCTTGCTCAGGCTGGTCTCGAACTCCTGAGCTCAAACAATCCACCCTCCTCGGCCTCCCAGAGAGCTAGGATTACAGGCGTGAGCCACCGCGCCCGCCAGGACACAACCTTTTTACAAAAAACAAACAAAACATAAGAACTGTGCAAGTGTTGCAAGTTTTGTCCTAGTGGC